AAGAATGCCAAAGTGAGCCAAGCGTACCCCACCCCTCCACCCCCCGACGCCCCCCTCACCCGACCCCTCCTTCCCCTCCCCACTTACCACAATCAACCCCATGGATAATAGGATTCCGTCTGCCCCGAGCGGCTGCAAAGTTCATGAGCAGGGAGAGGTCTCTGAAGAGACGCTGGGACACTGGGACGTGGGGACATGTGTCTGTGGGACGAGCGTCCCCCTCGAAAGTCAACATTAATTTTTCCAGTTGTTCACAGGTGTCTTATCTCCACTTTCATTTGTTCAGTTCATGATGTGGAGGGAAACGAAACTGAAAACAAACCCTTGGTCCCAGGACTGTGTGACTTCACTACAAACACACACACACACCAAAGGAAATATGGTCAGTCCGGTCTATAAATATAAGTAAAAATATACAAATATCTTCCGTAAATCGTCATCACTCCATGTTGATATTTACATAAAGAACCTTAGAGCTAGTTTATATTTTAGAGAAATGTATTATTTTAGAGAAAAGAGTTTAGAGTTTTTGTTTTTTTTGGTGTTTTGAACAAGTACTATAGAACTTTACAACTTCTGTAGTGTTGTATATTTATACTTCATACCTATATATATTTATATATTTTTTTGGGTAATGCTTTTCAGCTATGTTATAATTAGATTTATCAAATGATTTTTTAATTTTTTAATCTGATTAATCATAGGGTACATAAATGATTAATCAAATTGTTATTAATTATCATGATTATTTGGGATTGATACACTTCTTACGTGTGACCAAATATTTCTGTGTATTACTGCTGTGTTATTATGGGATGTTTAGCTCCCGTCATTCTGCTTTAACATGTGATCAATCTGTCATTAACCAGTGACATTTTAACTTCCTTAGTTGTAACAAAACATGAAATTTCATCTAAAACCAAATTCCAAGGAGCGAAGACTTCAGTGACGGAGTTGAACGTTGTAGTTGAGCGGCCCCTCCCCTCAACCCCCCCACCTCCCCTCACCCCCTCCACCC